ACAAATATCAGTTCCAACAATTTGAAATGCATGGTAAAGGTCACACATGTAAATAAATTGCTGCTGATGACTAATTGCACACTGACTTTAGAAAGAAGCCCCCATTGACACTGGTTATAAGATCACAGGCTATATACTGGTTTCAATAATGTGTTGGACATTTACTGGCGTCTTCACCAGTAAATGTAAAGTATGTAGACAAAGAGAGAGAACAAGAGAAGCCACATGAGGGCGAGCGATGAGGAGCGTACATAAGAGTATTGAAAGCGAAATGAACTATGGGACTATGTTTAGTGGGTATTAAATGTAAGTCTTGGTTTTTGCAAAGAAGTGCAGCTATGAAAGTACACTGCAGAAAGTCATTACTAATGGTGACAACCAGAGATTAACCTGTCTCGTATGAATGGCTTAAATTTGCATTGAGCTCTCGTTGGGTTCATACACGTCTGACCGTGTGAAAGGATAATTAAGACATTAAACAGTACTTTTCTGTGTTTTTTGACTTGAATGCTTGACCGAAGCAAACGATCTCCCCAGCTGATGTCCACAAGACTGGTTCCTTTGGACCAGCGGACGTTTACCCGCATCACCTTTAACCCCGGATCTGTATGGGCATGGGCTTGTTCGCCGTTTTCTTTTCCAGAGGTCACTCTTTGTCCCTGTTTTGGTCCAGGCTTATGGAATGCCAACACAAAGACGGCCATAAAAGCAGAGTGATTTGCTTGGGAAAGAGAGCTGCCTGTTTGCTCTCCATGAAAGGGCTTTGACTTGGGCGTAGGTTTGGTGAAGATCTGACCTGATTTGTAGATGAGATTAATTTATTACCCATGTGATTGCTTGGCATAAAGAAAAATGGATTGACCGTTCCCAGGCAGCATCCAACCAGAAAATGTCCCAGACAATGGCGGTCTCAAATGAGGAACTTTCCAAGCTTCATTGAAATTTTCTAAAAAATCTCCCAGCCTTGAATCAGGCTCAGGTGGGAGGAAAATTCTAATTAATTCATCATAACTAATCCCCTTTCAAGCATCATAGTCAATGTTTCATCTACAAGTCTAATATGCTGAAGTACTGAGCCAAAACAATACAAAATGCGTCGCCATCCAAATACGTAAAGGAACTGCGTTGTATCTCGCTGCTTGACAGATCTCCTCCACTTGCTGAGCATCTGGCATCGCCTGGTGTTTCTAAGGCTGTCAGCAGATACCTACTACTCCTGCTTTGTTTCCTGGGTGGCTAAACATGTCACTCGGCTGCTCAACAGACTGCTTGTGTGTGCACCAGGGCTACCGAAGATTAATGTAGTGCAGATAGCAATTGTGATTAAAAGGGTCCCACGTATAGTCGATTCTGGATACATCAAAAAATCAACAGTGCCCATGTGTGCAGCACACATGTTTTATATTGTCGTATCTTCGTTTGATCACTGTGATTAACGTGAAAAGAGAGTATACAACAATATTGGCGTAAGTTGTAATCTACAACCAGTACTTAACCAGATTGTTGCAGTGTGCTTTGCAAAACCACAGAAATGACTTGGTGTAAACAATGATGAAAGAATGATTGAAGTCTTTGAAAATATAAAGAAAAGTAACTTGCTGTAACTAGTGTCCCGCTTGTAGGCCTATTTAATGAAATCCCACCCAGCATGCTTTTCCACACTGTCGTTTTTTCTAAAGCTGTCTACATGATACACAGGCCGATCCGGTGTCTGTTACACTTCACCATCTCTTTTCTTTGACACAAGGGTCTGTACATTCCTGCGTCGCAGCAGGAAGCACACCGTGACGTTAGTCGGTTTTTGTATGGCTGCTGTTCCAGGATTCAGCGACGCCGGTTTTACAAGGCTGCTATGCGATTCCCTCAATTGCCAAGCTTTCATAGTAAAAGACCTGGCACTCAATGCCGCACAGTTTCAGCTATTCATCCGAGCTCTCTGAGAGACTCGGCTCTATTGAAGCGTACATCGCTCTCTGTTCTCCCAGCACAACCACAGGTCTTATGGTGCTGCTTTTTCTTTGCCATGGTAACTTTAGAGTTGGAGCATAAAAAAAAGCCCCGTCAGGGCCAGGAGCTTTCACATCTGGTAAATGAGAGGTCGTGCAGTGTCAAATTGCTGTTTAATGACTAGAAGAACCCTTTTAAATGCTGAAGTCCCTGGGTCACCTGACCTGGATCGTCAATGTAAGAGCATTTTATTAACATTTTCACTTCCTTTCCTTGTTGTATTCAGTCGTTGAGGAAACCAGGTTATAGACTAGTGAACTGAAACTAAATAATACATTTACCACCACTTTACAGCTAGTTTCTTCTATGCTCTGAACGCGTCCACTGTGACTCTCTCTAGCGCTCGACCAAACACCTGCCACTCTTTTCTGTACATACTGAACATACCAAAAACCACAATATTTTAGAGCCACCCTTAATGTCTCTAATTAGGCTTTCTGGGGTTTGAGCTGTACGGGTAGAGAAAAGCCAGGTTTATGCTCGCCTCAGTGTTCCCGGCTCAAGGGTGAATACACATGAACGTGTTCATTATAAACGCCTTAGGGACTAGACTCGTAACTCAGCGCGCCATCTTTGGAGGCCAGTGTCTTGTGCGGGTTTAAACAAGACTTAAGAAATGTATTGCCTGGCAACAACAACTGCGTAGGTTTTTAGGAAGTGGATCAAATGATGGCTCGTTGCCAGCAGAAACCTCGCCGCGCCTATTCATTTTGAAAGAGCAACGGCCAATGGAAAGACTCCAACTCGACCGACCAATGGTGTAACTTCATCACCCACTCACTAACTAGTGACTAGCCAAACATGGGGGCAGGGTGGCTTAGCTATTGCACTTGAGGTTGTTTTCTGGTCATGTTGAGACTTGTCACTGACTGGTTGATCACTGTGCCAGACACTTTCAAAGGAACAATCAAATTCCTGACATTTGTTCATGGATTAAAGGAAAAATGACCTACACGACATCCATCATACTGAAAGAAACAGCTGATGGTTCCTTTTTTACTTCTTCTAAGAAGAAAGGTAGATTGGTCAGATAGAAGACAAAAGCGCATCCTGTGGTCCATTGGAAAGTACTTTCCTTGAAGGTGTGCTGTCGGTCCCTGTCAGATACATATGGTCTGCACTGTCTCCGTTGTGGTTTTAACTACTTTGTGTGCCTAAGATTGATGTCACTTAATGTTTTCACTTTGAACTTGATCATTTTATTGCTTGTGCTTTTCAAGTCAAATGTTTTTACCTGCATGTGCATTCCCATGCACGTGGTCATAAAATACACATATTTATTCCTGCTTTGTCTTCCAATTGTGATGACATGTTATAGTGACATCGGCGCTGCATACAGTCGTTCCCAGGTTTAAGAGCTACACCTGGCATTTAGTAGGTATGTGGTAAATGATTCTCTCAGTGTAAACGCCAGTAAACATCCACTCAGGGTTTCCTTCTTACGGGCCAGCTGGTTCTTATTGATGCAAGAGGACGATGCGATCCCTCACCAGCGCAATACCTCACCTCCCTGCTCTCCCTCCTGCTTTTACTGCCCTCAGACTGCCGGTGGCGTATTATCGGAGGCTGGGGAGAGCCGGCTGGATGCTGTTCTGTCCAGGAGAGTCGGCATTGGAAGGGAAAGTTAAAAGTGGTCGTAAACTCATGACACCGCTTACTGTGACTGTGCATTTTATCTCTACAAGATGGAAGCGTTGCGGTTGACCTTCCCTCACACAAAACACTGTGTGTGTGTGTGTGTGTGTGTGTGTGTGTGTGTGTGTGTGTGTGCGTCTTGCCCTTTTCTGCTCTGCTTTTCTCTTTTTATGGCGCATAGCATCTGTCACAGTTGCTATGTGAGGGACAAACATGAAGCAGTGCCTTATACACACTGGGACAGCGATATTAGCAACTGGTGGAAATGAGGTTTCTATCGACAGCGGTGCGAAGTTCATGTTGTTTCTATTGAGCTTCAAGCCAGTGTCTCCTCCTCCTTCACCCAAATGAATATATGAAGCTCCTATGATCGTGAACCGGATAGTCGCATGCAAAGTCAGCCCTCTCTAGTTTTTGAGCTGTATACGTGAACAAATTTAAGAATCTCAGCAATTTCAGAGGAATCACAGGAGGACTCACCACAGAGACTTGCCCCAGTCTCTGTGGTGTCTACGGACCGCATCTTGTGATTATCAGGTCTTCTTGCAGCTCCATTGTTTGAAGAAATAATCACATTGTTTGTTTTGACAAAGCCTGCCTGGTTTCCTCTCCCAGACACTGTAGTATTAATGCGTAATTAACGTATTGTTCTTGGGTAGAAGGAGGATAAATGGTACATGTTGCATCCATTAGTGTCACCAGAGATTAGATTGTTGTGAATGGGAAATTGATCATCCTTCAATTTAATTATCTGTCAATGATGCAGATGAACAGTTATGGATTTCATGTTTCCACCCGCTAACCCACAAGTCCACTTCTCTTTGGTTTGCGTGTCTATCGCCTCCTTTTATTGCCGTCGTCTTGGATGCGGATCTCTCTTGTTTGTTAGTTCAGCTGGCGGAGAATAAAGTTGTTTGTGGCTGTATGGAAGTTCATTCCGCAACGTTGTATTGTTCGGTGAATGGCTCCAAAGCAACTGCTCTCATTAGCAGTGCGTCTCATCATTACGGCTGCTTTCTATGAATGTCCTGGCCAAACCGAGCCGGGACCCTGGGGGAGCCAGAGACGGGGCTTTCTGGGATGTGGAAATTGGAGAGTTCGGGTATGAATAAGCATGTGCTCATCGAGGAATCCCGATATTTATGTCTCACTCTCACAATATTCCCAGTGAGTCACACGTAGTGCCTGTTTACAGCCTGTCGTTTTCAGAAGTTATAGCCAGGTTTCTTTTCAGATGAATTAAGCCATATTTTTTGTTGTATATGCCCATTAAAAAAAAAAATGTGTGTGTGTGTGTGCTACCGAACCTTTGGTAAAATGATTTTCTCTCCCCTCCTCTCCTTCCATCTGCCTCTTAGGAGTGGAGCTGCCAACCTCAACGCTCCATTACATCCCGAAACCTGGTGGGATCACTGATGACCTTTGTTGCTGCCCTCACCAGCTCCTGCTTTCCTCCTGCTCTTCCTCCTTATCCCTCTCCTCCCCTTTCTTAAACTCCCCTCCTCCGTATCTCCCAGCCCCAGGCTTATTACTCCGACCCAGTGCAGGGAGCAGCACAGTAGCTGGCATAGGATGAAGCAGGTCTGCCTGCCAACACCAGACAGAGGATAGAAGACACAAAGGGACCAGCGAAGGGGAGCGAGACAGAGAGAGACAGAGAGGACCACTAGTAAAGAGAGCTGCAACGAAGCAACAACATTCAAGATGCCACGTCGAAGGAAAAACACAAGTTTCACTTGAGTGTCATGAGATAGCAGAGGGGGCCCCTTAACAGATCTAGAACTGTGGACTCCTTCTCAAGCAACTTCTGGCTCACACACTCTCCTGCTCTCTCGGGCTCCGTGTTAACACCTGATATGCCTCTGTAAGAAGTGTGAGCCATGCCAGCCAAGGGGAAGTACCTGTTGAACGACCGGGAGCTGAAAAATGAGGCGCTGTACCGCAAATTCTCTTGCATCAGCCAGTATCAGCCGCTGGTGCTCCTGCTGGGCCTCTCCATGCTCTCCTGTGGGATCCTCCTCATCCTCTTCTTTGCCCTCCAACTGGTGAGTATTCACATCCATATGTTTGTTCAAAACTGAAAGATAAATGTTTGCTCTGTTTGCAGATTTCACACTGGTGACGTAGAGTGTTGAATATCATGGAGTGTTTTAAGGTATTGATCATACTAGCGCACTCTTCACACTCGACACCTCACTTCCTCTGGTCCTGAACAGTGTTGTGCAAGTTCTGACTTCACAAGAGCTAGCTCAATGTTCAGTTCACACAGATTAAATAGAACTAGTTCATGTTCGCCGTTCACAATTGAACTAGTGCGGTCCCCGTGAGTGCAGTGCTGTTACGAGCGTGAGCTAGACCCCCACCTACGTGCTTGCAACCAACACTCCCTTGCTGGTCAAGACTTTAGAGACATTGGAGGCCAATATAGATTAGACAGTTGCTGATGTCTGTCTCCACTCCTTTTGATTGTGCTTTGATTGCAAACGGATACGTTCAGTTTACCAAGCGCGTTCATGCACAACACTGGTCCTGAGCGATGCACCTGCCATGACATGGTTGCATCCCCCAGCAATGCCAGAGTATACGTGTTATTTGGGTCCAACAGCTCACATCGACCAAATAGAGAGCTGTAACGCTCGACTCATCCACAATGTAACGTTAATATTGTAGAGACCGTCAGAGAGCAAGCTATACCCAGCATGCTGTTCGGCGGTGTAACAGTTTATAAGGGTAACCTCTCGGTACGCTACACAGTGTTTACATAACACTCTACACAAATGTCCTGTAGATCTCAATAGCTGGCATGAAAACAGTCATACGTACAGACAGACGGAGAGAGACTCCTTCCAGTTTAGTGAGATGCAAATGTTTGAGTGCCTTTTCGTTAGTGGAGTTGCCGGTTTTCATAGTGTGTTTTTGGGCGCTTGCAGTACACATGGTGCAAGGGTTGGAGGAATGGCACAACAAGACGATAGTTGGTGCAAGTCAAGGTGTTGCCATTTGTTACAGTCAACAGTCTGAACAACCTGGTCAATTCAGTCAATTCTGAATTCACGTAACTTCACTGTTGTGCTTCTGTGTTTTAAACACAATGCTTTTTATTGTGGAATGATTTAAAGTTTGACTTTAGTGCACAGTACTATAGCTAGTACGTTATGAAACTAGTGACAAAATTGGCTTCATGGAGTGATTCAGCTGCATCCAAATCAATTCAGAATTTGTGACAGTAGAACCCAGGTCATAATTAAAGTAGGCAGTGAATCTCTGTTTTCCTCTCTCATGGTATGTTGTATTTCTTTTGTACAGATGTCATATTACTAAGTTCAACAGGCCTTTCTTCCACCAGACATTTTAACTTATCATAGCAGGACAAACGGGTGTAACAATTAGATGGCTCTGATCCATGATTTAAGTAAATCAAGACCTGATCAGGACCCTGGCACTGCCTCGACTAAATTAAAAACGCACCTGTACTTTTCCTGCTATGACATGTCAAAATGTCTGCCTTCTATAAGTATCTATCTACCTATTGTACACTCAGTGGCCACTTTTTAGATACCCCAGTGCACTCTCATGCAATCCAATGCAACTGTTGGCTCCTTGTATGATGCCTGGGCTGGGCTAGCCTCTTTAACACTAGCTTCTGTAACTCAGTGAAGTCTCTCGTTTAACCTGTTTTTCATCAGTCTTTTCTGAAAAGGGAGGCATGTTCATGGGGTTCCCATGAGACAAATCTGCATCCACTAAAGTTTATATTGAAAACGTTGTGGTTATAACAAAGTTACACAACTTTTACTGTGTGAGAACAGAACATATTACAGCTCCCATTAAAAGACTAGTAGTGCGGGCAGTGATGTGATTCTTTTCTCTCTAATTTTATAGTTGTACTTTCTGCTGTCTAAAAACCTCCTCTCCGTCCTGCTGCTATTACATGTCTGAGCTAGCTGCAACCCTTTGACTCACTCATGGACCAGGGCGTATGGGAAATGGTGTTTGTTAAAGGCTCCTAAAACACAAATCTATTGAATAAACAACAATGTTCGATAAAAAATATCCTCATCTAAACATATGTACCGAGCCACATGTTGAGAAAGGCTGTTACAGGCTGTATTGTTAGTTATCAGAGTAGTTACAAATGTCAATGGGGTTTTGAATGAGGTGTCCTTAATTCTGCACCAGGACCCAGAAGCTCCGGTGTCACTTCAGCTCTCTATATGTGGAGGTGTTAATTCAATTATATGTTTTAGCATTAAGGTCATAGTTAGTGTTGGTGTTGTACTGGCCTGCATTATATTGAGAGGTGCTTCTAATATTTGTTTCATTAGGAAAGATTATGGAAATCAAGTATTAAGATGCATTGAGAATTATTTTAGAGATTCACAGCCCTATAGCATTTTCATATTGCTTTGACGGTGCAGGGAGGAGTGTATGGGGACTAATGTGGCACATTAGGACAACAGCATTTGCCTAATGTTTAGAGAAGCACGATGTGACTGGATGGTCAATTTGAATCTCCAGGTTGGCTGTGAAAATGTGACAAATGAAAAACACTCTCCTCTCCCTCAACAACTACTTAAATAATGCACTCGACTCCCCTTCACTACCCGTGCAGCTGCCTAGAAGCGTGAATGAGTGAGTGATTGTGTAACTGTTTGAATGTGAAGGAGGACATCGCTGAAATAGACACGAAAATAGAGGAGGCATATTTCAGTTGCTTTCTCTAAGATTAGAAAAGGAGACAGGTTGGAAATGCATCTATTAAATAAATCCAGGTGCATGTTTGATAATGCTGGTGATACTTCTCTGTCAGGACATCGTCTTCCCTTTCTCCACAGTGAGGTCAGGGGTGAGTTACAGAACAGTAGCCCTGGAGCTGGAAGTTTTGCTCGAAAAATACTTCAACGGAAGATATGCCTGCAGACACGGGGCGCACTCTATTCTATTGCTGGCAATGTCTCCATGCTAAATACACTACCTTGCTGCACTTAACCAAAACCCTTTTTTTTTAAGGTTTATTTGAAAACTGAATAGAAGAAAATGGACCAAGAGAAGACTTGGGCATAACACGGTGGTTAAAACAATGTAGCTGTCAAAGTGCAGAGACTGTAATTGCGATTCTGACAGGAAAACGCAGGTTATATTGACTCTGGCGGATCGGCAACATGCTGTTGATGTTGGCATGATGGCAGGTAGCACAGCATTCAGTCAGTCCAGCGGTTCATATAGTGAACTGACAGATTCTGTCACCGGAGATTAAATTACTTTCCCTAGTTGGAAAAAGCATCGTAACCTTCCCTCGATTGTGTTGCTGCTGACTCTCCCTGCACACTCCCTTTCTCTCTTCATTGTACTAAAGATATTCCTTTCCTTTTGAAATGGCTACCTCCCTCATAGACAAGTATACTCCCTCATTGATTTAGTCTCTTGCTCATACAGACACAAACGCACAGTTGTATGTCCCGCAATTGTCTCATTTCTTTTAGTTACTCCTAGATTGTAAATTGTGACACTAAATGTTTAAAATTCACTTACCTAACCACCTCATCCATCACTGGACATACCATCACTCATCCCTCTATTCCCTTTCTCCTCCCTCTTCTTCGCCGTCTTCCCGCACACACAGTTGCCAGGGGCACAGAACAGTTCAGAGAGAATGCTGGGATGGAGCTTGCATAACACTGTTGTTAAATGCAAAGGAGGGGCAGGGTTTCTGTGGGGGGGGGGGTCAAAAAGTCACTGTTAACTTATGTAACTCCTCTCCAATCGGCAGCGCTGAGAGGAAAACTGGCTGAGCCGACGTTTCAAGTGCCACTTGTGGCACCAGTGTCAGGCCCTGATTGGATAGAGGATTCGTATTGTTGTTTAGGTTCTTGAAATTGATTCTAAGAGCTGTGTTTGTGGAGTGTATGTTTCATTATAAACTGCAGTGTCCTCCCAACATGACTCTTGTTTTTTTTGTCATTTTTTAGCCACTGCGGCTTGGACCGTTTCCTTTGTTGTCTTTAATTGATGGTCTCGTAGTTGATGCATTCCTAACTGTTAACAGAAATAGTGTTTAAAGCTGTGAGGAATTTGCACATCATACTGGCAGGAACAGCAGGAGCATTGGCTCATTTAGTGTAAAGAAATGGACATACTGTGCACTGCACACTGTAAATATTGTTTATCCATATAAACAAATCTGTCTATGAGTAACAACCTGCTGATACCGCAGACATAAATACAGAAAGAGTGCTATATCATATAAAATAATGTCATGAATGCGAATGAAAAGTACGCAAATACTACTTTCATGTGGCTTTTTTAGTCCTTAGAGTGCCATGCTTTGAACATTCTAGATATATCTATTCATATGGAATAATTGTTCCTTTTTTTTTGTTTTGTTCTGCCTACAAAAAGGTTTTGTCAAGACCCACAGCTGCATAGGGAGTAGAAAGTGCTTTAGTTGAGATCTGGCCTTTTCCAACGCTGCCATGGTAACCAGAAAGCTCACCATACAATGCAGAGATGGCCTTCTCTGAGCAGAGATCTATTAACACTGACTTTGTGCGTCTGTCTCGCTCTTGAGCTCTCTTTTAACCCCTTGTTTTCTCTCGTGCTCTCCCTCCGGCACCCTCTCTCTCTCTCTCTCTTTCCCACTTCCACCAAGATATTCTCAAACATATGTCCGCTTGGACAAACATAGGTGTTACTTTCATGCATGTATGTGCACACAAATATTCACAACAAACATACACGCAGACATGCTTCCACACACACACACAAATGCACAGGATCTTTTTCCCTCGCTCTTTTCCTCTCACTGTGCAGTAACTCTCTCAGGAAGATGATGGCCTAGAGCAAACAGGACATGATGCAGAGACAGATTTTAGAGACAAACCTCTACATGAGCCTCAATGCTGATGGATATCAATGGCTGTGCATCTTATTCCTGTCTAGAACCTCAGGTTTACTTTCAGAGAGTTTTAATCAGTCAGAAACACAAGCAATAAGTTACTGATTAGAAAAGATAACCAAGCATTTTATTTATTTGACAGCAGGTTCTAATGTATATCCAAAGAGGTGGACAAAAAGATACAACAGCCCTACAGTATATTAATTTGGTGAAGCCCCTAATGTTTGTTTTTTGTTGAGACTTTTAAAGGTGTTGATTAAAACCAGTGTTTGAGGTTGTAGCTTGTAGTGTTGTAAATAATCTGCAAACCTTTTCAGGCCGTGAACAAGTCCCTCTGCAAGTTTCCTAATGTTGTCTTAAAAACTACAATACTACTGATATTACTGTAGTAAAATGTGCGTTTATTTTCCTCCTCCTCCCCCCTTGCTGCTGGAGCAGAGCGCAAAGGATCACTGTGCCTTTGTGAGCGTGGTGAGCGGCAGCCTGGGTGTGTTTCTGGCCGTGTTTGTGCTGGTGTGCACAGAGATGCTCTCACAGCGATGGAGGCGTCTGCTGGGCCTGATCGTATGGGCAACACACCTCACCATGGGCTACACCTTCATCTTCAGCGGCCCCATCATCCTGCCTTGGGACCAGGTAACCTCACCACCCAAAAATCCAGGCATACAGCAACACGCACCTCTTTCTCTTTTTCTCCACGTTTTGTGAGATGTGTGTAACGACACTTTTAAGGCACCAGACGACTCAAAGCGAGTGAATGAACTTGATTGGTAGAAATTTGTTTTAATTGTGGCTTCTTGAAAATAATGGAGCCTTTTATGTTTCCAGGTGCCTTTCTTCCTCTTCATCATCTTCACCGTGTACACCATGCTGCCGTTCCAGTTGTGGTACGCTGTGGTGCTGAGCTTCATCTCCTCACTGTCCCACATCATAGTCCTCACAGTGCGCCTCACCGTTTACGACGATAACCCCAATCCTTCCCTTAATCCTAACCTTGCCAACCAGGTAAAAACAGTTGAATCAAAACTATGCCATTATGCTGTTTCTGCAATGTTTCTGTAATGTTTATGTATCAGTATGCAGACGTATGTTGAAGACTTAAAGCCAGAATGGTTATACGGTCAATGTTATCTCCCTGATGAAGCTGCAGTTCAGGGTTTGTGTGCAATTATGCTTTATCATGAAGTTTAACCAAAAAAATGAGCAGAATTTAGACATAATATAACTTTTGGCCAGGGTCGGATTCAATAAAATAAACAAAATTCAAAAGTAAAGCCACTAACAAAGTAAATGCCACCCACAGGTGTTCAATATCATGCGTGTGTTTCCATTTGCACACTAACGTCTGCTGCCTTGTCTCGTTTCTGTAGCTGCTGTCCAATGCAGTGGTGTTTCTGTGTGGCAGTGTGGTGGGAGCCTTCCACAAGGTCCTGATGGAGAAAACCCTGAGGCAGACCTTTCAAGACACCTTGAGGTGCCTGAGCATGCGGATGAAGCTGGAGATAGAAAAAAGACAACAGGTTTGTGAAACACACTGGCTGTCTAAGCTTAGTTTATAACAAGTCGCACAAAGAATAGCTACATTGGAGAAATGACCATTAAACATGAAGGCCTGCAGTATGTAACCAAAGCCTTTCAAAGTTTGGCTCACTATGTTAGTGTAAGTATCTTAAATATAATAATCATCTTGTGCATTTGTGTAAAACAAACAACTTCTACCGCAACAGTCCACGTAGTACCTCATTAACAAAGGTAAAGCAACAATGACCAACACATGCATCAAGACACAAAAGGTACATTAACACTAAACATATATAGAAGAAACCTATAAACAATAAATCACTACTCTCTGCCTAAGATATGTAATACAAATCAGGAAAAATGTAATTGGTGAAATGAATTACAGTCTGTACAGTCTGTATGGCTTTAGGATGAGTGGGCGCCTCCCACCACACACATTTGGTTGAATTAGGCCCACACTACATCCATGCAAACTCTGAAGTAATAATCCATTATAGAATATTGTAAAGAGAAAAAGAAAATGCAGTATTTCTTTATTAAGAAAATAGGTTTTCATACCACCATTCCATTAGCGTACTGTATATTCTAAACTGAGCATTTTAATACCTTTTATATTTGTCTGCATCATCTGTAACCTCACTCAACGGAGACAAACATTACAGACAAATGATGAACATAGCTAGTCAGTGATTGTTATTGCCATCCTCTTCTAATTTTATTTCATCTTTAAGCTTTGCCTTTGGCTGGCCTCATGTTGACTCTCCCATGGATGTTTTCATTGCGACTAACAAATCCTTCACAAATTAGATTTCCCTGTGATGCCTTTTAAATTAGCTGCATCTGCGCTGACTTGCTTTGACTTCAGAGACATTTTTAAAACAATCATTCGTTATGACTGTTGCTTAGTGCGGGACAGGGGAGCTGCTGTGTTGCCTAGCAGGACAAGAAGGAATGACATAATCGTTAACATTTGAAACCTCCTGTTGTATTTCAATCGGGGCTGAAACAAGGGGAGCCTGGTGCACAAATTTAGCCAAAGAGAACAGGGACATAATATCATGGTGGGGTAAGATCCAAAACCGTTCCAAATGGGGAACCAATGAGGAACTCGCATTGTGTTCCCACATTCACTTCAGCAGGAGGTGTAAATGCTTCTACCTACTGCTACTACCTACCTACTACCTATTTATTTAAAAATGAATCAAATGTGGAAAGCTAGAATGCTTTGAGTCAAAACACATTCGCCTCTTTGCAATAACACGCCAAATTAATTTAAGGTGCAATTTTATTCTTTTGAGTCCTTGAGAAGTCTGTACAACCTGGAGAGTGTCCAGAAGCACTCCAGGGAAATACAAGGCTTGTGACCGCACACTTGGCTTCTGCAAAGAGCCACATAGTAAATTCCGACATGTTAAAGCAAAAGTTCCCATTGTCTAATGAAAAGTAATCTGAACTCTTGCTCTAATGCAGCGCAAACCAAAACTGGGCACAAGTTAATAGCCGAAGTGGTGTATTGACTAGCAAAGGCAAACAGAAGGACCCATAAATTGGGAAATGCAGGAGATTCTTCGGGAGTTATTTCTAGTAAATTAGAAGACAAGACCGTGACCTGGAGTATTAGAGAGACAACCGAACACTTCAAAACAAGAATGTCAATGTCCTTAGGTGGCCCGGCTGAAGCCCATGTCTAAATCCCTTTTGAAAATAACTGTAATGAATTGGACATAACTGTTCACACACACTCCTCATCCCACATGACCTACCCTGAGCCAGCATTAAGGAAAGCTTTGTAAAAAATGTTTTGATAAAATCCAGATTTATTGGCTAAGTGCATAACTATGACTCACCGGGTTTTATGCTTGAATATCTGTTTAAATGAGAAATACATATTTCATCTTCAAGCTCAGTTCATAAACAAAATATCAACTTTTGATCAGGCATAATCATCCACACATACACACACACACACACAGTTGTGTTTTCATGACTTGTTGGTATTACATTGACTTACATTCAGTCCCTGGAGACTTAACCACTAAACATAACCACTACTTACCCTAACCTAAACCTAAACTTAAACTTAGTCCTCTTCCTAAAATGTAATGACTTACGTTCTGGGGACGTGCATTTTGTCCCCATAAGGAAGCAGAGTCCCCTCAATGTGAGTGTGTAATCACAAACCTCTTCAAACGCCGCTCTGGTGGTTTGAAGAGGGATTAATCCTTTCTTGAGAAGTTGCCTCTTCAGGTTTCTGTCTTAATCAAGCCATTGAGCTTTGAACTTCTTTGGCCTCCGACTATTATGGCAGACTGACTCCAATGCTCTTTTGTTACTGAATTAATGCAGTGTGCCATACCCGTGCTGGAGCAGTGGCGGATATTCTTCCTTGTCATGTTTACCATCATTTGACTGTCATGGCAGCGCGGTGATATAGTGTTTGAATGTATTTAGTATCACTGCATTTAAACCTGTAGGAACATGCTGGTTCCTTCATAAACCACCCCTGCTCTAAATACCACTTAAAAGCTTAACGGTGTGGGGAGAGTACTGACGCTCCAATAGAGCCCCCACAGGTACATACTGGTGCTAGTTCTGAGGTATACCTACAATAGTGCCACAGAAGAAGAGACTGGCACAGGTAAAATAATATGAAAAACAACTTATTGTTCACTTGTCAGGTGAACGGTGTGTGCTTGATGAGACAAAAGTTCCCCGCTGGATATTAAAGAGTGTGATGTTGATGTAGTGGGTCTGAGAGTCTGTGTGTGTGTGTGTGTGTGTGTGTGTGTGTGTGTGTGTGTGTGTGTGTGTGTGTGTGTGTGTGTGTGTGTGTGTGTGTGTGTGTGTGTGTGTGTGTTTGTTTCGTGGCTGTGCCCAGATCTCTTTTTCTCATCACTGTACATCGAGTGTGACAGTCAAATAAACCTGGCACGCCCCAAATTGCAGTCATGTAACTAATTGTGAGTGTGTGTGTGTGTGTGTGTTTGCAGGAGAACCTGCTGCAGTCTGTGCTGCCAGTCTACATCTCCATGAAGATGAAGCTTGCAATCATGGAGCGCTTGCAAGACTGTAAAGACAAAGAAGAACAACAGCGACTGGTCAAAGACAACAACTTCCACAGTCTTTATGTCAAGAGGCACGAGAACGTCAGGTACAACCACAAACCACCTTCAAATACATAGAAAGCCATAGACTTTTGGATTTATTGATCATTAAATAGCCCTTGTTATTAAGGATCACCTCATCATGGGAGCCTTATTTTACTAGTCAAACCATGCATGGGTTAAAGACCTGACTTATTGATCAGGAGAGTCGGACTAGAATCGGATACTAATTTTGTGAAAACGTAACTTCAGACAGGTTATGAATAGTAACTGCTATGACAGAATTGGGAAAAATCTGTATTTTAAACAGCAACTTATAAAAAGGGAAAGAAATTAGTCTTGTCTTTTTCAACTTGGATTTTTTTTTTTAAAGCTTGCTATACTTTGATATTTCCAAACTATAAATATAGTTATTTAATAAAAAACATATTTAATATCTTCTTCATCTGTATTCGTAATTTAATAAATCCTCAGTCGTTCTCTCACGCTCATGCAGATCACTTCATAAAGCAATGATGAGGTGCAAAAAGCAGATTTCTCTGACCACTTCTCGTAAAGATGGAGATTATAATGTCTGTTTTCAGAGCAGTGACCCAGTTACAGCTCTTTGTTTTGCAAGGGTTTTATTAATTTAGCAAGTGCTGACAGATATTGGGTCAGCTTAACTGAATTTTGGCAGATGGCTCACCAGCTTCTTTTTCTTTTTTTTTCCGATAAATGTAGGCAAGATACAGCCTCTGCCTTAGCTCAATAAGAGACTTGCATTATAGTGTTTCTTGAGAGGAAAATGAATACACTGTAAGAAAGCGTGTTCTTCTTTAGCTTCATTAGTTTTTGGAAATAGAAAATGTTTGTTTTTTTTCTCAGCACTGACACTTTGATTTTTAAAGAGCACTTCCCATTCTAATCAGTTTAATTGATAGATCTAATGCTGGAATAACATGAAACTGAAATGGCAACACAGATGGCGAAACATACACCAAATGACTGGGCTTAGAAAGTTTGGACACTAAACTTTTGGTCTCTTGACAATCAAGAGGTCATTGTGAAGACAGCAGGCATGATTGCTACTATGTTCATATAGTAAGGAGGTGTTGAATGATGGCAACCCTGACCTATCCCTATAATTACCCCAGTCAGACCAGTCTGTAGCTGTATTGTCTTGTCTCATGAAGCACCTGGCCGTTTTCGGTCAGGCAGTGAAACAGGTGCAGGATCTGTGTCCCTCTGCTGGTCACCAGACAGGCGATTGTTCTGTTTCTTTTGAGAGAGAGAGAGAGAGAGAGAGAGAGAGAGAGAGAGAGAGAGAGAGGCAAAGGGCCCCATGCCAGACGCGAACCCGGTCTGCTGAGGTCGCGCTACCCAGTGAGTTACCAAGCTTCCCCCAGGCTGCCCAGTTTTAACCAGCTGGTGACGGTAATCAGCCCTGGCTGGACGTGGTCATCACAAGTAAAACAAACAGCCTACATGTAGTGCTCTGTGGGTAATTGGATCACACACACAGATCAATAGCTATTTGTGGTGTTTTTTTGTTTTTTTTCTAATATTCCTCATCTCAAAGTCATTTCCCATCATGCTGTAATTTACGTGCACAGCGTTGCTGACATCTCCCACTGTGGCCAGTCAGTCAGGCAGGCAGGTTTAGGTGCTCTGTGTGAGGTTGGGCTTTTGCCGAACTTCCAGCTGGTGGTGTCGGGGGGTCTTTCAGAGGTCAGATGAGATAACGGCGCCCCTCTGTGGTCCTCTGATAGGCAGCTTGTAATGATGACCAAGCTATGATTCAGCATTGAACCAGACAGGCTTTTTAATGAGTCACTGATCGGGTCTATTTTTTTTTTTCTGCCTGAAATCCTACATCTCAACTCAGGAGCCAAAATGGTCATAATGGGTCATAATGGGCCGACAACGCTGTGCAGAGACAATCGGGCCCAGATTTGGAGGACACAAATGTCAATGCATTCCAGACTGGTGCATCAGGTGGTGTCAGATTGAAAACCCAGGGCTGGTCTCCTCATATTAGTTTTTTTGTTAGCAGCCAGGACATGTAGATTGCACAGCATTACAGATAGACAGAAGTTACATGAATGGTGTTCACCAGTTATCCATTGTGTGCAACGATGTAACGCACACTGGTCGCTGGCAGGTCTCTTCTTCATGGATGTGGACTTTGAAGGATGCTGTTGTCGCCGTTGTTTTCTCTAGATTCTCTAACTATTAAATCGTTGAAGTAGTATTTCATTTTAGTGTGCGGAAATGTAAGGGTTGTTTAGTTAGTAAAAGATGTAGTTTTTATATCGTCAATACTAACAATCTTTTTTTCAGACATCTCTTCTCTCTTTTTCTGCGAGTGTGTTTTGTGTGTTCAACTCTCATTGTATTATTTCCTTCTTTCAGTATTCTATATGCTGACATTGTGGGATTCACCCGATTGGCCAGTGACTGTTCTCCCAAAGAGCTTGTTATTATGCTCAATGAGTTGTTTGGAAAGTTTGACCAAATTGCCAAGGTGAGTCATCATTTAGGATTTCTTCATGTCCTTATTTAGAATGACACTGAACTCTTAGGTTAACTGGCAGTTGACAGTTTACCTCTTAAAAGAGATTGCAGCTGTAATAATGTAAAGATTAGAGTAGTGATGTTTCTGACAGGAAGATTTCTGCTATACCTCATACTGGCTCAAGCCACAACCAAGCCACTTAAACGGCAGTAGTACAACACTGTGGTTGTATTGATTGACTCCCATGTGTTGGCATGTGTGCCCTCATATCCTGTATATCTGCACAGTTCATGCAACCAGGCAACTTTAGTTGAGTATTTGCTTTTTAGAATACTTACCAGGCAAATAACCAGGTTTCTCTTCTTCTCATCGTCATTCCTTAAAGGAAAACGAATGCATGAGAATCAAGATCCTTGGAGACTGCTACTATTGTGTGTCAGGGCTGCCTGTCTCTCTGCCGAGACATGCAAAGAACTGCGTCAAGATGGGCCTGGACATGTGTGAAGCCATCAAGTGAGTGTCAACCATCACCCTCAACCCCGATTGAAACACATTGTGTCTCTCGAATTTATCTCTTAAAAGAGATGAGATAAAAACAATTCATTTTTAGATGATTTAGTATGTTAATAATTTGAGGAACAAAATATTGTGGTGTATAATTGTGGACTGTAAGGTGAGGCATTCTCAGTGATTATGTCTCGAGTTTAGAGAAACACAATTTTCTTTTTGTACAGCAATGCCTAGAATTGCACAAGTTCTAAGTGACATGGCATTTTAAAGAGTGTATTACACCAGAAGGAAAGTCTGAGTGAATGTTGACTCTCCTCCATGAATGATGTTTTTAAATCAGGTGTTGACAACAGGACTATTGACACACAGAGACATACAATATGGCTTCACATCGACACATATGAAATCACACATTGTGATTTCCTTGAAGGACACTTGTGTTCTGCATACAGAAACCACTTTCGACAACAGTTGAGCTTTTGTTTTGCCATGAAACACTATCCAGGCAGGTACGGGAGGCCACAGGAGTGGATATCAACATGAGAGTGGGCGTGCACTCGGGCAACGTGCTCTGCGGTGTCATTGGCCTTCGCAAGTGGCAGTTTGACGTGTGGTCGCATGATGTCACACTGGCCAATCACATGGAGTCAGGAGGCCTTCCAGGGTAGGCTGTGTTCATTTTACATCATGAGTTGAATAACTCTTTATACACATTTATGTATCATATTTTGTGAATTTCATTATTTTTTCTCGTAGTAGTTTTACCACGGACCAGCTGAAGATCATGTGATGCAATATCATCATTATTATTGACTATTTTAATAATAACCCAAGTTGCAAAAACAAAATCACTTTTAATTTAGCAACTAAGTTGCATAAGTTAATGTTCAGGTACAGTTACTTACTGGGGGGTGATACACAATACAACTCTGATAATATTAATTGCATAAAAACAATTCCATGATAATAATTTACATGTTACTTGCCTTAGCGCAACCTTATATAATCAATAATTGTATCATAACAAGATATTGTAAATGTTCCATTTGAAAAAGATGAATGATACAGATACAAAGTCTTTTATACATTTAAAATGGATTAAAGAGAGCAATCACAATAGTATCATTGCAGTAAATAAGCCCCATCGACTGGAAATAAGTGTTAAATATGCCATGCAAAGTATTACAATCTTTCTCCTCTTTCCTTGGTCAGACGTGTCCACATCACAGAGGCGACTCTGAAGCACCTAAACAAGGCTTATGAAGTGGAAGACGGCGACGGCCACCTCAGGGACCCCTACCTAAAAGAGCTCAACGTCCAAACCTACCTGGTCATTGATCCTCGGGTAAGTTCTCTATTCGTCTTCATCGTCCTTGTTAGCATGACGTTGCACCCTACGTGTCAACATTTAATGTTGTATTCCAAATGCTATGAATCATGGTAAATATGTTTGCTCTAATGTCATTTTACAACAACATACAAGCAAATGTCAATTTTCCTGGATTTCAGACTTTTTGGGTTCTGAACAGAAGTACAGTTTCAGCTGCACAACATTACTGCATAATTCGATTTATTGCTATTTTGATCTTTTGGGCAAAGCATTTTCTTCATCACTCTGCCTACAATTCTCCCCACTCTTCACCTGATCTAGGACGTAAAACTCTTCCATGCATTGTGCACTTTAAACCGAATTTAGGTGACCCATGTATCAGCTCCAAGCAATCCTGCAGAACTGGATGAAATTCTGCCAAAACTTGATTCAGATTCAGATCCAGTTTAAAATTGCACAGCCGTAGTGCTATCCCAGAGTGCTCCCTAATGACTTTCAAGGTTTAGGAACGTACTCACCCTGATTTCCTTGCCTCAGCTAATCGAAGTGTGTTTGTGTATCAAGTCTAAGGATACATCATCCAACAGCCGAAACGCGCCTAAACCTCGGGTGAATGATGGTCTGAAGATGAGGGCGTCCGTGCGTATGACCCGTTACCTGGAATCTTGGGGGGCCGTCAAACCTTTTGCCCACCTTCAGAATCGGGAGGGCTTCACCCCAGACTCTATTGTCAACGGCAAGTCGCGCTGCAAGGTAAGCAGATGGTTGTTGTTGGTTGTTTTTAAGGCAGTAACTTACCCTATACATCGTCTTGCTGTAGGATATTAAAGGCTTGAGGCCAGTATGATGAACTTTAAAAATAAAATGAATGCGAGTATTTGTCAAATTGTTTCAGTGGGGTTGGTCTTCAACACCCACATTATCATGCGTTCCTATTGAGTGAATATTGTCCCTGTCTTTTCCAGGACATCCCTCTACGACCAACCCCCGGCTCCAAGATCACTGAGAGGTGACTGTTATTATTATTTTGAACTGCATATATTAAACTGTAACAGAACTAGTGCGCGCGCACACATTAACAATGGGAGTCGGCTCGTGTAACGACATTGTTGCTTAATAGCTGCAAGTGTTTTCCCATCAACTTTCCCTGCCAGGACTTTCCCGTCTGTTCATGGAATCTGAACTGGTCATCGCTCCATCATATCATTTCATTAACAATCTCATGTCATACAGAAGTGCTTAGACGGATATTTCAGGCATTGCATTATTGCCAATGTTCAGCTACACACACGATTATCATAATGTATAAGATGAATGCTTTTCATGACTGCCTAGAAATGTTGATGGTTCGATGTCACTAGCTGGTCAGCATAATGCTGTTGTTGTGGTGGTAATCAGAGGAAACAGTCATGTTGGACAAATTGTTGTGACGTGTGAGATTTTTCTTTTTGCTCCTGATGTGTGATCCAAAATGTAAGCGTTTCAGATCCAGTTGATTGTCTAATCTAAAGGGATTTACACTGAGCAGGCAGTATGTTTTGTGTTTTTGTATTTATGAGATATGAGCTGTGCTGCCTTCCCCCTCAAACAGACTATGAATAATCATTGAGCCATTATTAATTAGGTCAAATTCATGAACATCCCAGTGGGAGTGAAATTACTCTTAAGAACATTTGACAATATGTTCCCAAAGAGTGCTAGAGGAGTTAGTTTTAAACTGCAAATAAAATATTTCCCCATAACTTTGGCAGTGATTCCTGCAGAGCGGTGGGAGTGCTGATCTCTTTAACGAGCCCTGCCATTAGCTTTGAATAATGCATAGACAAAATGATTATGGTTGTAGCTCACAATGGTTGATTCGGCACAGGCAGTAAGCATTCGGAAAAATGTTTAAAGTGTAGCTACTGATTAGTGGGCAGGGCTCACCTACACAAACAGTGTGGGCTGGAGTAATGTGATTTAGAAAAGATAAGTGTGTGCCTGAAAGCTGAAGCATTCCACCCTGTGAGAACAGAGATCCCGGAAATTTGTTGATTTCATTCATGTATTCACTCTCCACTAGCACAGGCGGCAGCTAGTGAACTGAGGTGCTCCCCTTCAAGCTAAATCAAATGTTTTCTGTGGTTAGAAGTAACAGTTGTGAGCGGATATCTAGTAGTTATGAACTGTTTTGGATAGATTTTCAGATTTATTTGATCAGTGGCCCTTTTTTTTTTTTTTTTGTTGTGATGAATTTGTGTTTTACTGTTGAACCCTGACAGCTTTGATGAGTCTCTAGAAGAACCGTTCTCCTTGCCTACCCCTCCGTTCAGCAGCTATAAGTGAGTGGGGCTCTTCGTGGCCTGCAAGGTCCTCGTTCCCTCAGTGCAGTAGTTCTCAACCTTTTGGCTTGTGACCCCTAAAAACCACAACAAATAGATGCACGCTCAGAGCGACTTGTTTAAAATCTAAATATTAGACGGTGTGCTTTCACATACTGTAAATAAGTATACGTTTCTACCGTTAAATTATAGATTAGTACCCAGAAATCAGTATGCTTCATGCAGTTTCTCAAAATAAACTTAAATATTGTTTAATTGTTTGGGAAGTGGAGTAGATGCAAACATGTTTCAGTTGTTACAACAATTAATAAAGAAATAAAACCATCAATTCCAAAATAACAAATATAATTTGCACCAACCTTTTTAAATCATTCTTTGAGCCCAACATCCCAATAATGTGTGTCCTGTCCTACAGCGTGAGAACTACTGCCTTGGCGGAGAGCCTTGGTGTCCTAACACTAACCTGAGCAGTGGTGCCATGCTGTTCTTTTCTCTCTGCTACCTCAGGGCAACATTTGATCTCAGTAAGCCACGAGAAACCCTGTAACCTCTGTTAGTGGACTGACATGCTCCTATTAACACTGATCACTGGCTGGGGGTTTGTGTGTATCTGTGTGAGTGTTTCCTTCCTGATGGATTCAGGGGTTTCCAAGCAGAAGCACGGCAGACACACTCCAGCTGAATCCCACAGAGATCATCTAACACACAGCATTCTGCATCCGGCACACTCCCTCTACATAACTCTCTCACAGGCACAAACCATATTTCTCTTTTCTCACTAATGCTCAGAATGGCATTAACCGCGTCGTTGCCTCCAAGCAGAGCTAAACTGGACCCGAGTTAACCTGCATGACCTGATCTGGTTTCCCAGCATCTGTACCAGTCAGCGTGTGTGTTTCAGTGTCTGTCCGTCTGCCTCTTCCTAATTGTCTCTGCCATTTCCGGTCCAGAAACAAATCCCAGAAGAGTAAGTTTGATGAAGAGCTGCACAATGAGATGACTACCACCATAGATGAGCTCAGCAGCAAGTAAGCCGATTTTTTTTTTTTTTTTTTTTTTTTTTTTTTTTACAAACACTTCAAATCACATTTTATGTATGTAGTACATTTGGTATAATAATGTAACCCAAATTGCATGAAAAATATGACTAAAGTTTAAATTGGCACTGACTCACACAGGAGAGAAAAAGCTCTGCTACAGTCTTCTCTCCGGGTTGAAATGTTCCAGCAGGTAGCACTTTGATGAAAAAGCAGGTTTTAGATCGAATGGAAATAACCAGACATTAATAATGATATTTAGGCATGCCAATGTGAGAAATGTCTCTAGCTGAGATAATGTGGCTCAAAGCTCTCAAGTTTGAGCGAATGGCTCAAGGGATGGCAGTGTTGGTTTGTCGTTCTTTTGTTGGTCGTCTTGCTTTGGTGTAGACTGACATATTTCAACCACTATGAAATAGATGAACAGGAAATTTAGCACATTTATAGATCCCAGATGATGAATCCTACAGATGTCGGTGGTTTCATGACTTTTCCTCCAGCGCAACCATGAGGTTGACATTTAGTTTTTTTGAGAGAAAAATCTCGAGAGCTATTGGATGGATTATTATTAAATTTGGTACAAACGTTCATGCCCCACTCAGGATGAATTGTAATAACTTTGGTGATCCCCCTGTGATCCAGGTCAAAATTTCAAATTGTCCAGTATTTTGGTTTATGTCCACATACCTGCTAAACTAATGACATTCCCATCGACCTTAGCTGTATTTTGTGTTTAGTGTTAATTATGAAATGTTGGCGTGCTGACACACCAAAGCAAGATGGTGAGCATGGTAAACAATACGCCTGCTTGACATCATTATGTTAGCATTGTCATTATGAGCAGTTAGCTCAGAGCAACGCTGGGCCTAAATACTTGGTCATTCTTGGTAACTAAAAATAAATTTGTAAAGATTAATATTACAAATATTGCTATCAAGCTAATGCTGTCATAATTTCACCATTTATTATGCCCATACACCCCCACCTAAAGCTCTCTTTCTTCCTTCCTCTCTCTCAGGCAGTGGTCTAAGTCTGAAGAGAGGGGCAGTTTAGCTCTGTGGTTTCCAAAGAAGGATCTGGAAAAACAGGTTAGTTTAACACAAATCCACAAAAAAGATCATCAAAAGCATTCACGATTCCACATTTTCATCATTTCCATTCAAGCATTCTGTTGCTGAACTAGAGGTTTAGGTGTATTCTGTTTTTCCTCCTCCGAGTACCGAGCCCTGGACCTGCCGATGTTCAAACACTATGTTGGCTGTGCCACCTTCATCTTCCTCTGCATCTTTTCGGTTCAGATGTGTGTCACAAAGGAGTGAGTATGACCAGATTTTATAATGCAGTGCAACAGAGGAGAAGAAACGCACTATGTAGATGATGATTGTACTACTAGGGGAAAAGGAGAAGCGGGAGATTGATTTTTTTCTTTTTTTTTCACACTGGTTTTCGTCTCCCTCAGTCGACAGATGTTGGGGATGTCGTTTGGAGTGCTGGTCTGTGTGCTGCTGCTCACCCTGGCCATCTGTTTTGCAGGTCACTTCCAGGTCAGTGTGTTAAGTCTTACATTGACATTTAACATTTAGATATTCAGGTGATTGAAGTTCAGGTTTCTGCTCTGTTTGTCCCAGTTAGCATTTCGGTTTGTGGAAGGGGGGGGGGGGGCTCACAGCTAACCTGTCATCACTCTTTTATAGCAACCACTCAACCTTCATTGGACGCAGGTCAAGCATCAGTGTAAAAAAGTATTCATTTCTCCAGCAACACCTGTTTAAGTCCCAAATTGTATACTGCTGGCCTAGCCCTGACCCACATTACACGTGTATGACTCACAAGTGTTTTGCTCCAAGTTGGTATTTCAAGAATTTGATTTCAGGTGTGCTTGTAAGGGAAAATTAAATGGGAAATTCTTTAACGATTATTACATTTGTGTTGTGTGAATGCCACACACGATGAATACAAAAGTGTCAAGCCCTCAGGAAGGATGTACTTTTACTCACCATCTGTTTCCTCCCCCATTATTTGGGCTGTATTATCCAACAAGCAACGTACAAAGGAGATTTTTAAATGAAATCAAAAACAAAATAGAAAGACGATTTTGTGATAGGATGGCAAACTCCAAAACAGCTACTAACCTTGTGCTCGTAATAACATTGTTGTTTGAACTGCGGTTTCCAAGGTCAAGGAATGAACTTTGAATCTCAAAATAAATGCAAACATTATGGGTCACGTGGTGTGTGATTTGTACAACCGTCTCTTTTTAATTTGAAGTAGCGGACCTCGACGTTGAAAGACAAACACTGAAATATTCAAATGTTGTATTTGACCATATATTTTCATCTTTAATCATTTTAAATGATTAATTGCAAACAGCCATGGCCAAAGGCGTTGTGTTTTTTAGGTTGTCCGTCCGACCCATTCTCATGAACCCAATATCTCAGGATGAAGTGATTTGAATTTGGAGGTCAAAGGTCAAGATTACTGTGACCTCACATCCGTCCCATTCTCATTAAAGCGATATCTCAGTAACGCCTGGAGGGAATTTCATTACATCCACAAACATCCACTTGAACTCGAGGTTAAACTGATTTTAGATAATGGTGGTCAAAGGTCAAAGACACAAAAACACGTTTTGGGCCATAATTAAAGAATTCATATGCAATTTCACACGAACGTCTAACACAATAAAATGAGGAAGTGATGACATTTTGGACAGACGAGGATGTAAACTGCAACCTGACTGGTTGGCGGAAACATAGAACCGCAAAGGTGTTAATTCCAGTTTGTTTTTTCTGTCGTGAGAGAAGAACAGAAAAGTGATCAAGATATCCAACATCGCTAGAAGAGGTTCAGAGGGGAAAACAAACATACTACAATAGGCAAATGTTTTGTTATTCAAGGCAAGGGTGAAAAGGATGGGTGTAAAAGTCACTGAGCCAGAATTAGTTAGTGAGAGAATGGAAACATGTCATGGAAGCTATCCCGTGCATTCAGCATAGCTTTCTATAGCTAACCTTCTGACCTGGGCGATGACACCTGACAATCAGTCCTTCACAGGCCGGAGTGTTTTCTCTCCTCTCAGACAGATTCCTTCACTGGAAATAGCCAGCAGTGACTCACTCACACATGATGTCTGGACATGCATGACATGCTCCCCATGCCTGTTTGATCCCATCTTTCCTCCGTCTTTATCTCCTCACTTCTCTTTCTCCTCTGCAGCGCCTGTTTCCAGAGAAGCTGTCGAGGTGCCAGTGGCTGCCAGCTGTGTCCGAGGCGGTGGTAAAGCGGCCGTGTGTGCGCCTCCCTCTGGCCATGGTCACTACTACGGTCATCATTATCTTGGCAGTGTTCAACCTGGTAAGACCACGCTCACACGTTGAGTGGGTCATTACAGACGCTGCTATTTCTAGCTGCGCCACACTTCAGAGCTGCCATGCCAAACTTCAAAGCGGGCCGCCCAGTAGTCGCTTGTCAGTCAGATCTTTTTTTTTTTTATCCCCCTGCAGTGCTGCATCCAGACGCGTGTGCCAGAATGTCCCACTGATATTGATTACCTGCGTCACAAAAATGATTCCCTTGAGCAGGGATTAGAGGACATTTACTTCTACCTGCCTGTGAGTAATGGAGTTGTTAATAGGCAATAATGAAATTGCAATTTGTAATACTTTTTTGTCATGTCAGACTGGATTAAATAGTATTTGGCATTTGTTCAATTGAGTACCAGAGAAGAGTTATAGTTATTGACACAAATGTCTATGCTTACGATCACATGATGGTGTGTTATAAATCATTTCATTAATTGTTTGTATATTGCTTTGAAATGGGAAATAGAATAAATCGTTATCAGGTTTGCTGCTACTGTTATTTGGCTGCGATATAATTCCATCCCTTGGCTTTCTCTCTCTCAGTACTCCGTGTACTGCTGTATCCTGTCGCTCATCGCATGTGGAGTCTTCCTCCGGGTGAGCTTTGAGCTCAAAGTGCTCTTCCTCACCCTGGCCTCCACGGCATACTACATCATCATCCTCAGCACCAAGAGGGAAGTCTTTGTGGCCTACGGAAACTTTCTCCTCACTCAGCAATTCAACAACAGCTGGAACTGCAGCAGGTGAGAGTTAACAGCGGTTAATAATAACCTCATGACAGTACCATCGGTGCTGGCAGGTCAAAGTCACAGTTCCATAAAGACGCATCACGTTTATTCATTTCAGTTCACACGGAATAATCGTGTATGAAATCTGCAAATGGAAGCAAAGTCGAGCCATGAGTGTTTCTTGTTTGTTCCACAGCAGAGACGATCACGCCATCCTGAAGTGGTTGGGGCTAGTGAAACACCCCCAGGTGATGAGCTGCATTTACATCACCCTGTTCCTGGTCACCATACTCATCATCTCACAACAGGTAATGACAATCCCCACCTCTCCGTCCTCAATTTTTACATTAAGAGATTCAAAATTGAAATGCACAAATGTAGTTTGTACATGTTCACATTCAAATAATTGAAGTAAAATATTTTGATGGTCCGGTCATTCATTTATCTATATCTTCTATATATCAACTATCAACGACCACCAATTGTGAAATGATAACAAGTAATAAACTTTCTGGAAATAAATAAATCAAGAGGCTGCTAGAAATGCAGGTAAACTCCAATGATTGTTGTGTTTTTCCTTCTTTTTCACTCGCTGTGTTTTTGTCTGCTAGAACGAGTCCTGCTTCCGCCAGGACTTCCTGCTAAAGTATAAGAACCGCACAGAGCAGGACGAGATCGAGACCAGGGAGAACCTGAACCGCCTGCTGCTGGAGAACGTGCTGCCGGCCCACGTAGCAGCGCTGTTTGTCGGGGAGAATAAAAAGAACGAGGTGAGGGGGGGGGGCCCTGTTCATTATGTGATAAGTGATAAATGAGAAACCAGTAAACCACATTTCATGTAATATTATTAAAAGGAACTCCAGACAGACATTTTCTGTGAATTTGAAAGGATGTATTTTAAATAGGTTTGGTTTAGCATTACATAACAGTTTCCTCGACCACTATCTTCCTAAGAATTCAGCCCAAAGCTGTGAGTTGTCCTTATATTATCAATAGAACTAGTAGAAGTTAAGGGAGGTCTGTCTAAAAGCTTTCATTAAAGCCCAACATTTCCAGTCTCCTCCTGGGTAAAACTATGAGCTGTGCTTTTCGTATTCCCCCCCCCAACAGGACCTCTACTACAAGTCCTACGACTGCGTCTGTGTGATGTTCGCCTCAGTGCCGGATTTCAAAGAATTTTACACGGAGTGTGACATCAACAAGGAGGGTCTGGAATGCCTGAGGCTCCTGAACGAGATCATTGCTGACTTTGACGAGGTCAGAAAAACATCCTCATCCATCAATTTGTATTACCAAGTGCTTGTTTGCAATACATGACATCACATGATGTCTTTAAAGCCCCAATTTGTTATCGGTAGCTCTGTTTATGCACTTCCACTGTTAACCATGCGGACAGCTGGGCTTAAGACGGAACAGTGTTATTATCTGCACTCTTAGGAATATGAGCTAAATCCCTCCAGTGTAAATGCCAACAGGAATACATACTGTAAATGATGAAAGGCGGGATGAGGGAGTCGAAATATTTAGTTTTTCTCTAACCCAACAGCTGCTGTCCAAACCAAAGTTCAGCGGTGTGGAGAAGATCAAGACAATTGGCAGCACTTACATGGCAGCTGCAGGACTTAGCGGGACGCCCGGTCAGGAGAACAATCAGGTGGAGTAGCTACTGCCTCAGACCAGGGTCAGACCCGGGTCAAATCAGACTTGTTGACCGTTTCTCAGCAAGTCATCGACCTGTCGTATAAAAAAAACCATGAATCTTGAAGCGGTCATGTTGAGGTTGTGAAATATGCTCTTTCAGGACAAAGAGAGGCAGCAGGCCCAGATCGGGATCATGGTGGAGTTTGCCATCGCTCTGATTGGGAAGTTGGACGGCATCAACAGACATTCCTTCAATAGCTTCAGGCTTCGTGTGGGTGAGTGTCGGCTTCAGCACAAACCTTTCATTGACTGAATACTGCATTACATCCAGCTCTGTTAGGGCTGACAACCCAACAGGTTACCTTGGTTACAATGTGCATGATTGGCATCCCCACGGTGTTCTAGCCGTGAGAGCAGATGCATTCACGGACACTTGATTACGAGGTCATGAAGTTAAACCTCTCCAACCTTTGACAGAAATATGTAGCTTAGTAATGTTGAGGATTTAGGAGCTTATTTTAAATTTCCACTCATAAATAACTATGGTTAAGTTAAGTACATCAAATAATATATAAAGTGAAGCCGTTAAAATGGAGACAGAACCCAGTTGAGTGTGTGAGGAACTTTAACCTCTGTCTGTGTCCGCAGTCCTAGCACAGTTATTCCCAGACAGTTGATTCTTAGCAGACAGTTTACAGGATAAAAGGTTAATTTCAAACATTTACATTTCTTGCGAGATAAAAACATACATGAGGCATAAACACTGAAATTTGTATCAACCTTCTTATCAGCGGCTGAGTCTAAACACCGTGTGACTTTGAAACAAAATCCACTTTTGTTTATTAAAAAGCAGTTTAAAGTGTACAGACTTCTTTGACCGGTGATATCATACTTTTGTAATTCCTCTGCTGCAAACTATAACAGTGTTTTCCACAGCATTTTGAAATGATACCGACTCTACTGCAAATATTTTTTGTGTATCAATTAATACAAATATTGATCCTTTCTCAACTCTCCTCACTAGCCAGTGAGCTGCCTGAGATTTTCCTTGTGAATCTTTTTTCTCTCTGTAAATTCTACACAATAACATTATTCAACGTGTCGGACTTAAACACGTTTTTTTTTTTTTTTTTCACAGGCATTAATCACGGCCCAGGGATAGCCGGAGTGATCGGGGCGAGGAAACCTCAGTATGACATCTGGGGCAACACGGTGAACGTGGCCAGCAGAATGGAGAGCACGGGGGAGCTGGGAAAGATCCAGGTACATTCAGCACAGTCCAACAGAGGCAAACAGCGATATTTCCTCTGGTGGTCTCTGGAAGGTGAAATGGTCACATGTCGGTTCTCACATAGTCCTCCTTAGCTCTGCATTGCAGATCTTAACACAATCATGGCTGGATTCAGAAAGATTCAATTTCAGACTCTGGTCGATTGAACAGCTCATGAGATTCATTTTTATTGGGAAGTTTATTGGGAGTTTCTATGTGAATTAGGGATATACGTAGTTTGAAAAAGGCTTGCCGATTATGTTGATGTTCCAGAGACGTTGACATCGTTGTGAGGAAGAACTAACCAGTGCTACTTTGGTAGCTTTGGGGTGTCATGCCGCACTAAAAGGTCCTTATTCTCGTCGCTTGTGTCACGTTTCCAACAGCGAAAAACGGTCTCCCAAAATACAAGTACAGAGGATGTAATGGAAGAGGACTTTTTACATTGTACATTTTACAGTGTTTATCGTATATTCAGCCGGAGAGTGGTCACTGGAGGCTGCAGCTGCAGCGGGGAGCGTATGACCGACGGGGACCCTGCAGAATCCAAGCTGCCGAGAGCAAACACCGACTGGTGGAGCATTTGCTCAAACTGCCCTCCGATGCCAACAGAAACTGACTCATTCTGCCATATTAAGCCTGAGGCTGGGTAGAGGACGCTGTCATGTGTGCGTCACTAAGCATGAACGTTTTGCTCCTCCCTGGGACAGAGGTGTGTGAGAGACCTTATTCAGGATCCTGAAGATAAACTGGAAAAGACAACCAAGACCAGCAACGCCATTTTGGGGGCGATATTTGTAATTGTTGTAATATTATAATTGAATGGTCTGCCTCCAAAGAAGGAGTGACAGCTGCCAACATGCAGCTGCAATGGAGCCTCTGCAGCGGGAAGCTGGCACGGCAAGTGCAATTGAAGTCGTAAATGAATCAGTAAGAGAAGTCAGGTGTTACTGTTCGCTGCAAGGAAGTTCCCTCTGTGGATTTTGGGGCTGTGTGATTTCATTTTGTGGCTTGGAGACACAATAAATGTTATAAACTTGCTGTTCAAAAAGGACCTTCGTTAGTTTTCATAGCTGCAGTTGTGATTTCTTCGTCTACTTCCAGGTGACAGTGGAAACGTCCGATGTGCTGCACAGGCTGGGCTACTCGTGCGAGTGTCGGGGACTCATCAACGTCAAGGGCAAAGGGGAGCTGAAAACCTTCTTTGTGTGCACCGACATGAGCAAGCAGCAAGGTATGGGTCTGACCTGAGGCCAGGGCGACACAAACGCCACAACTGGAGACAGACTCAAGCCAAGAGTTTATAGACTCCACAAGTGTTGAGACAGAATAGACTGTGATACAGACTGTGTTTCCTGTGATGGTAATGAATGAAAATACTGAGGACTTTGCTGTGTTTGTTGGATTCGACACTCGATCAACACTTTCTACTCCAGACCTGTTGAACGGCTCAGGATGTGGCGGTCATGGTGGAGAGATGATCGGTTGTTTTTCTACATACATTTACGTCTAGTGATCAGTCACTTTTGTACTTTTTGTCTTTAACTTAGATGTTGTTTGCGATAGAAAAATAAAAAAAGCGCATTGTACTAATGCCAAATACGGTTGTGATATGTTTTTTGAAGACCTCTGTGGTCCTTTAAAAACAAAACAATGGATTCTGTTTGGATCATAATTTGAAACCCATCTGGTTTTCCAGTTTTGAGACCGGATGGGCACACTGCTCTGTTACTGTGTAATGAGCATGCCATATGTGAGGCGGATAGACGGAGCCGTTTCAATAACAGAAACAGGCTGTGCAGAGGATAAATATATAAAAACTCTTTTCTTGCTTCTGTCTTGGGGAAATATTTGACATCAATAGAAGTACTAAGTTTCACTCTCTGGCCAAGCTTTTAGGTTCCAGCTGTGTAGTTAGAAACGACTGGTTGATTTTACATATACGACGAGATAGTTGCTGCATTTCAAAAGGAAATACACAAATCCGTGTGCTGTATGTACATCATCTGTTCCAAGTGTATATTCTGCTTGTCTGCATTAATGCTGCAATGAGGGAAGCCTGTGACGCTCTCCTTGGTGTCCTTAAGTCTGCGTGATCCAACAATCTGCCTGCTGTGAATGGTTTTCTAGCTCCAGCTCAGATGAACAGCTGTCGGCGCTGCGCGTCTCTGAAACTTGATTCGTCTTGTGGCCTTATCTTTTGAGACCGTCACTTTGTCTGTAATTGTGGTTGAATAATAATAATAATAATAATAATGTATTGGCCTTTATGTGAACAAATGTGACATTGAATTTTGTACAGCTACAGAATGTAATAAATGTTTTCCTATGTCTGCAGTTTGTCATACAATATTTCACAAGAGCCAAGACTTGTATATAAAAAGAGGTTTAATGACTGAAATGCATACAAATGTCACACAAAAAGCACCTTTCATACAAAACTTAACTTATCAAACAGTAACGGTGGTTGGAACTTCATCATACAGTGATGACTGGAACTGGACCACCGGACAAGGACTCCATTGGTTCTGCCGTCTCCTGAACTGAAAACATTGAAAAGTATATTAGATGCTAAGTTCTTACTGACACGCTGTATTTGTAAGTTCAGACTTTACTTCCCAAATAGCCAACAAATAAATGTTAGTCAGTGGTAGAGGATGTACTCGGATCACTGTAGAAAATACTGTTATAAGTATAAGTCATTGAAATTGTTACTTAAGTGAACGTATGCAAGTATGATCAGGAAAATGTACCTAAAGGATTAAAAGTATGCGAACAAATGGGCCCCTGTGACCGTTATACTATTATATATTTTATCATTCAATTATTATTACTCGTACTTAAGTACAGTGTACTTAGTTCTATTCCACCACTGATGTTATTGGACACACAGACAAGCAGAGTGGTAGTTAATACTCCACACATGTCCAGTCAGGTGTTTACCTGTGGTGAGGTCAATGAAGGGCCCGGGTGGTTCTGGAGGAGCAGCGATGCCCATGGCCTTCCTGATGCCATAGACACTGCTGACGTCACAGGGGGCCACTTGACCAGTCAACTCGGCTAAGTTCCCGGTTACCTTCTCAGCTGCAGACAAAGGAAGAGTCAAAAGGAAACATCACAATGACAAGTATATTTACATACAGTTTATTTGCATTGGAAGAAGACACATTTAGGGCCAATCAGAGGCGATAGGAGTCAGTCGGTTTAAGTCTCCATTTCACAGACTTTTGCCATCCATTCAACCTTTAGCCAGAGTGCTGTGTTATGTTTAAGGAGTAGTTTGACTTTTTGGGAAATACACTTGTTTGCTTTCTTGCTGAGAGTAGAAGATGAGAAGATTCTTTATGTCTACGGTTAACATGAATCTACCACCAGCAGCCGGTTAGCCTGACTCTGTCCAAAGTTAACATTATTATTTTGAGGAACAGTGACAAATCTTTAGCACACACTAACACCAAAAACAATTTGTGCCACTTGGAGGAATAAAACCCTGGGAATGAGGTCAATGTTGGTGATTTGAATCGTATCACTGTAGCTGTGAATCATTGTCTGAAGCTAATAGACAAACCGCCTCCATGGTGGCTGGCTGGTTGAGAGGTTAAATGGATTGTTGGTCTACCGATGGTGGCGATGGTTTGAGTGGAGGAAACAAAGGGGGCCATGATGCACTGACGGACTCTTACCCAGCTCCAGCTCCTTGGCAGTTGGTGCCATCAAGCAAATCATGTTCGGTGGCTGCTTAGTGCTCAGACGCTCCTTCTGTGCTTCCTGCAAGTCACGCAGGAGCTTTGTAGTCTCGTCCAATTTCTGCTGGAAGTGCAGGGCCTCTGTGACAGATCAGCGAGGGGTGAGGGGGGAGAACACACATACCGTTAGTACTTCCTCTGGGTTCCTCCGGTTACCTTGCGGTAGCTCCTCGGGTCCTTGGTTGCACGTATTGAACACAATACATCCATTCTCTCTGTCCTACATTAACATGTGGAGTGCTGAGAGAGAATACACTCTGATGGGCTGTTACAGAGATCTAAGAGGATACATAATGCAACGCTGAATGGCTAAATGGCTCAAACTGCTTCAGATGAAGGCTGATTTTTTATTTAATTATTTTTAATGACCTCAATGGCAAAAGCATTTACAGTGATTATGAATCTCTTTGTTCACGTATTCCTTTGAACCACACATAAAGCAGTCAGGGCTGCTCTCTGGGCTGGGCACATCGCATCTGTGATCCTCCATGAGAGTGGGTAGTTACTGCAGTTGTATAGTTCATTGTCAAAATGACAAAAAAAACAAAAGTCTTCTTTGGTTTTCTGTCTGATTCTGAACTGAAGAAGCTACGAGTCATTTGTTGTGTGCTTATGTAATTTCACATCTGGTTCTCACATGTGGCAGGTTTATACTCTTATTTAGGCAAAATCACAATGTGATATGCATTGTAAATAGAGCGGAGACAAATTCATATAGATCAACAGAAAATCAATGAACAACAATTTAGAAAAAAGACTAATCAAGGTCACGAATCAAGCAAAACAATCTCTAATTGCAGCTTCTCAAATGTGAGGATTTACCGATTCTTCCTATTCCATATTCTAACGTGAATATCTTTGGCTTTTGAACTGTTTGTTGGACAAAACTAAAAATTTGATATTTTCACCTCCAGCATACTTCTAGAAATATTTTTTGGTAACTAATATTCTGACAGACGAAATGGTTCCTCAATGAATCTACATCGACTATTAAGCTGGAGAAAGACTATCAATACCTGTAGATACCCTGATCTACATATAAAAAAGCCTAAATCTATAATATAAATGAGTGTTGGCTGCAGCCTGATATGCAACACAGACTAAGTCGGACAGACGTTTTACCCCCAGAGAGCTCCTCAGCCATCTGCAGGCCTGCAGCAGAGCGCAGGAAGTCGAGCCTGTTGCAGTTGGATGCTTCGGGTTTAACCATCTACGAGAGACGGGAGACACATGTTTAGTCAGGTTAGAAAAATGAATTCCACACTAGACAGCTGATGCTTCAAGGGAACATCCAGACCCTTTGAAGCCTCTTTAGTCATGCTGCTCCTTCGCTCCACTAAAATCGAACCTAATGAAAAGCTGCAAGATCCCGGGGAAGGGAGGGAGTCGGGGTGAGAGCGAGCTGGAGAGCGGCCAAGAGCAGCAAACAGCCAGGACAGAGGGTTTGCTGTGTGCCTGACGGAGGGGCCCGTGCTTTTTGGTTTCCTCCGCTGCTCTGAGGAGCGATTCAGCCACGCAGCCAGCGGGCACTCTAAGAAAACACGGGCCTCTCCAAATTCTTTGACAGCGGGCCCTGCGCGAGTAGCACCGCTGTGTTTTGGAAGGGGAAATGTTCTTTCCATGCGTGGATGGATCGCAGCTAAAGGCTGGCCCCCGCTATGTTGACACAGCTGGTTGACGTAGCAACAGTCTGCCGAGGCCATCTTTAACGACAAAATGAAATGAAGTACCCGCGCATGAGGCGCAATGCGAGAACACGTGCGGCACACCCGAACGACCCCGCAGCGGGAGCTCCATTTTTCTGAACATCGCATCCAACACCGGTGAGGGCGGACAGCGTCGGTTTGGCGTTACATAGCACACGCTGATGTTTGTCATTATGAACTTGATGTTTATTTCCATTTACTGATTGCTTATCACTCAGGACAGGTTTTTATCCGGGTGTCAACTCTCACCTCCATGTCCTCCGCGTCCTTTTGTGCGTTTGTGTCCTCCTCCACCTGCCGGACAGGTGAAAAACACTCATTCAGCCAATGGATACTCTTAGATTTCTATCTGGTGCTGTTTAACTCAGTCATTAAGAAAGTCAACTTGGATGAGCTGAAGCGGTCACAATAGGTGCTTACCGGCACGGCTTCCTTCAGGGTTTTTGAATGCTCGCCGTTCGTCATTGCATCCAGAACATTGTCCGCCAGTTTGTACACATACTCGTCTGACTTGGCGAGGAACTTTGACAAGCTGCCAAAAACACACAGAGAAAAACATTTACAGCTGTTGTTTTTGAAGCAGAAGCAGGGGTAACAATCACAATCACTTTCTCGGCCAAGAACAATGAGAAGTCGATATTGACACCGCTGACAAACATCTGGAAAGCAATCGGCATGGAATGCCTCAAGTGACGCGCTGTGCGAATGCCACAGAGCTCCAGTGCGTCCGTGGTCGTGCTGCACATACCTGTCTGAGCCCAGAGGCTGGGACTCCTCTCCATAGAGAGAGAACACGAGGTCAGAATCCTCCTTGCTGACGTTGGCGAAGCTGGAGTCGTAGGTGGGTGCGTAGGAGGTGAACGGCCCGTAGTTGACGTAGGACACTGCGGAAAAGGGTTTGCACGCAGACAGCTCGTTATCTTCTCAGCCTGATTCTTGGCGATATCAGTGATGTGCAGAAACATTAAGCCGCAGCCACACATTACCTGGAGTGATCCTGTTCCTCTTATCCTCCCTGAAGCCCTGCAGGCTGTTCACACCGCTCTGCAGCCGATTGGACATCATGCCCAGTTTCACGGGACAGTAACCAGCATCTGCGACAGGAAACACTGACATTTTACCAACTGTCATGAGTTGTCTCTCCACCTCAGTTTCTTCATTCATATATTTAGGACCCATCTGCAAATTTTGCGAGTCCAAGGTGACGTCTACAAATTGCTTTTTTTGTCCAAGCAGCACTCTATAATCAAAAGATATTCAGCTTTCAATAGAAGTGTGTTAAACAAAAAAACACAGCAAATCTTCACATCTTTAAAGCTGGAACCAGTGAACTTTTGGACATTTTTGCTTGAAAAAAAACCCATTTTATTAGGAATTTGTTTGAGCTCCATTATGATTGAAGGTGGACCTACCTCCTGCTGATGGATCAGCTGAGTTGAGGATTGCCATTGTGGTGGAGCCGTCAGACTTTCGCCTTGCAAACTCCAACTACACAACAAATAAATTAAAGCGTTCAATGCAAACACACACACACAAAAAAAAAAAAATCACCTTAGTAAAAGGAATAGCTGTGTTGTGGTTAAACTTTGGGATGGACTTAAAGAACATTAGACAAAAGGTTTTTACTGTCACTGATCGACCAACATCACAATATTATCTTAACAGAGGGCTTTAACATTACTTACTTTTCTTTTTATGGCGTTATTTAGTAAGAGCAGGATTCATGATTATCTTTAATAGTGGATATGTCAATTTGAGAGATAATAAATGCAGAGTTTCACCCTGCTTCCTCACATCACACTGCAGCACTCTGTTGGACAGCTTTCCTCCAGACTCCTCGATGACCTTGCGGATTTCCTGAAGCTCTTTCTCTACCTTTGCAGCCTCGTCCTTGGAGTCCTTTTCCTGTCTGCAAATGAAACACAAAGACGAGACAGATGAGACACTTTGGTCCTGAATGAAAAGGTTTTTTTATTCTGGCAAGAATATAAAAAACATGCACACTGCAGCGAAATACTGCAAGGAGAAAACCTGTGCAAGTCTGTTCATTAAACGCCTACATCCTGCTTTCAGTCCTCAGATAATCTACCTGGAAGCGGTTCGTTGACGTCAATAAACACCCATTAAGATTTTCGGCTGTTCCTCTTGAGTGAGTCATCATCAACACATGAGTTAAATTCAAGAGGTTCTGTTACAGCACCGGGCAGCAACACAGATTTAAAAGGTGTTCGGCCTTGAGTGAGAACAAGACCCAGCACGCTGCGAGCCATTCTTCACATTCTCAGCCTCCAGCAGCAGAAAACTGATTTCACTTCAGTATCAGAGGAAAATAAGCTCACACAAACCAACGGTGTTCGGAAAAATGGTTCCATCAGCGGCCTGCATTTTTAGTCCAGGCTGATTAGTTACCTCAACCGTACCTGTTTACTAATGTCTCTGCTGCTGTAATACTGCAAATCTCCCTGTTATGTTCAGCCCTTATTTCAGTTTTAAAAATCAGATTTTAGCAAGGCAAGCTGGGAATTGTAGTTGGATCTTTGGTTCAAGATCAGAGACCGCTTTAAAGGGATTTAAACAGTGAACCAATAGTCATGGTTATCATTTCACTTCCTTCATCTTGGCCCTCATAGCTTAAGAGCAGCTATGCTGAAGTGGCATATGACTGTGACTTTAAGAAAACATGAATTTAAAGTCAACAGGTTAAAGGACCTGGTTGTGCCGGGTGTCTGGGATCTCTCGCTGGTGCCTGTGGTGGAGGGTCCTTCTCTGTTCTGGTCCAGGCTGGTGCCCCCTTGGTCCTCAGTCTTTCCCGGCAGTTTGGCAGAAGGGTCGAGGCCAGACATGAAGTCTATGCTCTGCTTCAGGCTCTCCAGTCTTTCCTATTGGATTCAAAGTTTTATTCTTCTCACTTAGGATCAGGAAGGAGCAGAGAAGAGCAAATGCTGGATAAACCTCTTGGTACTACTGCTGCAGCTGCAATTACAGGCAATCTGCTGCCCCCATCTGTTGCTTTACAGCAAAGTCACTTTGTTCAAGTGCTCCGTAGGAAGTTAAAGTCAAAAAACAACACTGCTGCAACTAGTAAAGAAAGCTTGTGGTGCAGTAAATACCATACCATCTGGGTTTAAAGAAGTAGTGAATGTTCTTAACACAATAAACTGAACAACAGGACAATCGTTAGCAGTCGGTATGAACCCTTAAAGAGATTTATTTTTCCTGAATCCTCAGTTTCATACCTGGTTCAAGATCTTCAATCCAGAGTGTAACAGTTTTCTAGCTGCTTTATGGTAAATCGTCTCCGGTTTGTTGTAAATCATGGCATTTTCGCACATAACCCTGAGATCCCCCTGCATCAACACACAAACACATGACAAACAAAAGCGACTCTTGTGAATCAAAATGCATAGAAGAGAGTATTATCCTGCTATAAAGTTGATATGGAATGTTTATCTTGCTGTGTGTGGCATGCAACAACACCCCCTGTGTGTAAATCAGACACATACCGTGATTTCATCCAACGACTGATAGTAACCCTTCTTTACTTTGTCCTTCATTGTACTGAAGTCCATAGGCCGTCTGATGATCATAGAGTAGCCAGGTGCAATGAGGTCTGTCACCGGGAACGAGAAGAACGCCCTGGGATCTTTCCTACAGAGAAAACACACACACACGTACAGTATATATTCACCGCACCAGGCATACACTAACTTTACTGTAATCACACGCGCTGTGATGAGACTTGCTGCTGAATGTGCAACAGCTCATAAATAAACAAGCAGATGTACAATTATCTCGTAACACTAAATGACCAATGCTGCACCTTTGAAGCTGCCTGATGAGCTGGTTCAAAGCTTCCTGCAGAGGAGTTTGTTCCCTTTCTGCGAGAAAAATAACAAAGCATCAAGGAAGGTTTTGCATAACAAGGTGTTGACATAAACTGTGGAATAAGGGACATTAGAGACTACCTTCCAGTTTATCCAGCTCTGAACGTATGGGAGTTCTGCTCCGTTCATCATCTTCTGCTTCCTGTCCTTTCTTCTTCTTTGTCATCTGGCATTACAGAAACAAAGAAATATAACACGAGGACGATTTGTGCAAACTAAGTTCTCCCTTAAAGAGGAAAGCGGGTATGTTCTTTCGTCACGTTACCTTTTTCTTTCCTCTGTCATCCTCCGGAGACCCTAAACTCTTCTCTTTATCCTTCTTCTTTTTCTTTTTCTTCTCTTTGGGTTTGTCGTAGTCCGCCGGCTGTTCGTCATAAAATGTATCCAGACTCGAGCTTCCCGTCGTCACCTCGTTTCCGGACACCTTCAACACCAGCTTCAGCGGTCTCTCTCCGTACTCTGCGGATACGAAGCCAACAAACAGCATTATCGAGCTAACCATAGGCAACTGTTGATAGCTGAGGGAGCCGTGACAGCTCAGAGATGCTAGAAACAATAGTTAGCTAACAGCTAGCTCACCTAGCAAGGGCAAGTTGCAACTACTGCTAACGCTGTATTGTACACTTACATTGCCTGTCTTGTATTCATACCAAATTGTGGCATATTGACGGATAAATGAGGGAAGTAACGGGTATATCAGCCCTGTAGCTAACATTAGCCTAGCAGCACGCTAGCTGATCAGCTATAGCCGTGCTAACAATAGCGAAGCAATGCATTTAAAAACAAATCAGCAAATAGTTTAAGTGGATAAGTCGAACTATGTGCGAATGAAAATACCTTCATGTCCGTGTTTTTCGGACTTATGCTTTTTGTGCTTCTTGCCCATTGTTTGTATTTTGATCTGGCACCGGCTGGTCGCTCTCTCTGATCTCTGTGGTTTTGCGGAAGCACCGTAGCGCAGATCGACGCAGGCCTCCAGCGCCACCTGCTGGTGCGGCGATGGTGTCGCATGGTGATTTAACCACCTTTTATCGTCGGTAGGGGGCGAAGTAAGCTTAGAATTAAACCTGGACTAAGCCCTGCTAAATTTGAATTGCTTGTACCCTTGTGATTCCAGATTGTCAGTCTGCATTATGCACCATTTATTGAGAGGATTTGACACTGAATTATAATAATTCTAAAGACATCCTCTCTGCAAGTACAAGGAGCGTCAGAGAGCGTCATTCGCTCAGCCAAAGTTCTCTTGAGCCAGACGAGGAGCTCCTATCAGCTCCACTTGGTCAGATGAGTTGTTAATTCTGCACTTCCCACTCAAGTAAATACAGATTATCTCTAAATGTATGAGACAGACAACACTAACACCTGCATCCACACACAACCACGCTCACTTAAAAGGGCAAGATGTTTAGTTCTGTATTGCACTTTGAAATATTTGAGATGCTTACAGGTGACATATATAAAGCAGAAGCAACCCAATATCATATTTCACCAGACCTGCTTGGTAAAGGCCCTTGTCTTTTGAACTCGTCCTATTTGTAATGCAGACATTTAGTGACAGGCTGAATTTACTCCTCATGATGGGCGAACAGAACTGTTCTTCACTTTCTGGAGTCAACGAGTACGAGCGGACCACCCTAAGGAGCAGCACCACTTGGCCAATGCAACTCAAATTGTTTTTGCCATACTAACTCGCACCCCAATATTTAATCATATTTTCATTATATTTTGTTCGTAAATCTGAATCTGCAACGTTACCAGTAACATTTCTATGTCACTAGAATGTGTTCCTCTGAAGTAAAAGTACACAGTATGTAGTATATAGTTGAGTTGCATATTTTTTAAGTGCTTTGGGGGCCTTTTGTTAGTTATTTCGGGGTACGATGGCTGAGAATAATAACATAATTCACAAATTTTCACATCTAAACATTGAAATAAATCTATAGCTGTTTTAGTTGCGGTGTGTTTTTTTCCCTGTAAACCAGACTGTATTTCACTGATGTTTCTGACCGTGAGTGGCCGCGACTGGTTGTGTGACGCAACTATTTCATGGCAGATGTATTGGTGAGAACCCAAGAAAACGTTGTGTTGAGTGTGAAGTTATTTGTATCAGCGATTCTCGAGAAAGCTGCAAGCAGCAATAGCAAAGGCCACGCATTGGGCCCGTTCCTAACAGGCATGTTTTGCACGGGCACTGCAATAGTTGTTAATAGTTTGTGTTCATTGTTAATAGAAAGGAAAAAAAGGTCTTGAGAAATACTCTGTGTCTCCGCTGGCTGGAGGGGTGTGTTTGTGTTTCAATGAAACAAAGGTGTGTTCGTGTTTGATTGGCAGTAAGTGGCAGGCTGCCAGAGTGCTGGTGTTACACCATAGGTGTCGATCTAATGCAAAACTAGGAGCACCGACATGAAAGCAAAAAGTATAAAATGTTTCCCTTTTGGTGTCTTTTTTTTTTTTTGTCAAAGGAGAACTCAGGACAAGTGTTTCACAGAGACGATTTATAGCTGTAGCAGACCAAAAAAAGCTATTTAATTTCAGTTGGACTTGAATTAAATATGGGGATGAATCTTGTTTAAATTAACCAGACTAAGCTCCTAAAGGAGACAAATGACACTTGGTTATGGTTGGGCTCCATGGGGCACTGTACAGTCTGGAGCTTCCCTGCCTTGCAGAGCTGTTATGCTCTGTTAAATCGGCACATATTGTACTGGCTGATGAATGACAGATGTTTTATTCATGGTGGAAAGATAGTGTTGCATTCTTTGAAGCACATTTCAGGTTTTATGAAGAGGGTACAGGACGGGGGCAGAAGGTTCGAAAGGAGTGAAGATTGACTGGATCCACCTTTTTCAGCCATCCCTGCCTTCAGATGAAGAGGCAATTCTGACACTCTGATGATGTTTGAGTCTCCTTTCTAAGCAAACCCATGCCCAACCAATTACCTCCTGATCCGTGTCAAGGAATACCAGCCCCGTACACCCTTTACATACCGATATATGACTGCCAGTTGAGACTCTTGTGGAGAAAGAAATTACAAGGCCAACTAATTTATATGTGTGTACACAAGATCTAGAGCGCTGCTTTAGTGTGATTCTTTGTGGAGGAACTCAGTTTCACACATCTATCGATTAAATCAACTAATCAATTAGTGGACAAACTTGTATTAGTTTTAGTCGACTAAAAAAATGTTTTATCAAGGAATCCCTCAGATGGTTTATCACTATGAGTGACCCCTTTCCCACTACACATATCAATTGTATCCGTTAAGTATTGATTATTGCAGCTTTAAAATTGCACTTAGAAATCCTTTCTGGAGCATCTTGCAAATCACTTAGATGGTATATGTTTTTGTTTTTTATAGAAGAAATATTTTCCCCGGAGTGGGTGTAGTTGTGTGTTTTAATATTACCACCTGATGGCGCCAAAGTAAAACATTTAAATCCTACACATAGTGGCTTTAAATTGAGTGACTCTAGTCTCCACAGAGGAGCAAATCCCATAAGGTCAGGTATACCTTTCCACTCACATCATAAGCATTTAGCAAAGCTTGTCTCTTAGAGCGCTTAGTTAGTTAACAAGCTCAGTCTGGGGCCCGAGGAGAGGAAGGTCAGGATATATATGCCAGCCTCGGGCCGGCCCGCTGCAGCCCCAGAGAGGCCGTGGGATCCATCTGCTTCATTGCAGCTGCGGAGCTGCACACGCGTTGGAAGTCCACGGATTAAAAGGAGATTGGTTACACCAGACAGGGCTAACAAATGGCAGATGTTGTGAATTTCATTATCCTGTGTCACAACACACAGGCTAAAGGGACCCAGAGACTGTTTCCACATGAAAGCAGCATCCCAGCAGAACCATGCGAAACCACTTCCCACTCTGTGGACTGCATGGAACTGGGATGTTAAAAAATACAATCGGGCATACAAAGGCGGGCTTTAAACGGGTTATCTGTCTTGCACATGGTTCGACTGAACCGGAATTGGAAATAAAAATGTGCTGAGCCCGAGCACTATGGTCATTGTAGATTACTTAAAGTGCTGGAACAATTGAGTTGGAGTCACTCTACAATAACCGTATTTCTGACTTCACACCAGGTTGACTTGCATCACTTCTACATGCCAGTGACTGCACACTGTCTCGTCTTCTTTTCTTGCACTTGATAAAGTTTATTTAGGATAAACTTTGCACTCACTTCATAAACACAAAAATATCTTCTGCTTCCACATGAATATATATCGTATATATCGTTTCTCTTGGTTTTGTCGCTTTGACATTTGCATAGTTTCCTTCACTGTTTGAAAACTCTGATTTGTGTCAGTGTAAGTCACTTTGGGTAATTACATCAAACTTAAAGCCTGTGACAAATGCAAATTAATAACTTCTCTCCTTATGGAAAGATATAAGAATATGGCATGAAGTTTGGTCATAGAAGTATATTCTTTTCACTAGAAGTTGTCAGAGCGCTGTTCAGATATGACAGATGAAATGTTTGGGGTCATTACAACTGTCAACGCTGAACGGTTTTGAAGATGTAACCAGCCATCACAAGTAAGTCAGACGGAAACATCAAAGAGGAGAAGCCAATCATTCTGCCTCAGTGTTTTTCTCCCGCCTGCCAGTCTGTCATGGCAACATCTTTGAGCATCAGTCACTCATCCCCGTCAAAGCATTATGTGTATGGTGATTCTATTTTTATCTGCGACCAAACACTTCGCTTTTTTTTTGTGCGTGGCTTTGGTTATCAATTTTTACTGCTCGCCACCGTCTCCGTGATGTTCCGGTCTTGTGGTCCTCCGACATCCCACCCTGGTCTCTGGATGAAGGTCTGGGCCGGTCTCGTGCTGCATAGACCCAATACTTGCATGTCTTAAAGGGGTAGTGTGTAGCATTTTAGAAATATGTTTACAAAAATGGAATGTAATAATCATAACCATGTTTTCATTAGTGTATAACCAGCTGCCATTTAGAATCCGTGTTTTCACTAACTTAGAATGAGCTGTTTATATCTAAGTATGATCTTCACAGAGTCTGCCGTGTTTGCCCCCACCATGTTTCTACAGAAGCCCAGAATGGACAAACCAAGCATTAGCTCTAGCGAGAGCCTTTCGTGTTTCTACCTGAAGGCCAGCGTAGTTCTCCGACACAATTATGAAATTGCGATAATGTGAGACGAAGAATAAGTAATTAAATAGTAAAGATATAATAAAGTATGCCGTTACCAGCAGACTGTTCACACTTGAGTATTCTTAAGCGATGCGTCTTCTCTGCGTCGCATGACTGTATCGATCACAATGTTATCGGTTCAACTTGTACACGATATTCGAAAGGTATCGCAATACCCTGCCGTTAAAAACGGTACCATATTCGATTTTGTTGGTACCGCTACTTTAAAACTTACATGTTTTAATAAGCGCTGAGAGCTATTTCCCATGAGTTGTGTCGATGCTCTCCACCTGCACCGTTCCACAAACATACAATGCACCAAAGAGGATGTGTTGAATTATTATTTTAATGTGTGAGACTGATATTCTCTTCACAAACACCACTTTGACACAACACAGAGCTCTCTACGGTTACTGTGGGGTCTTCCTGAATGTAGCAGCTTCTCCCTTATCAACTTCTCACATAACTTCATCTGAATTTATTATCATTTTATGGGTTTTTGTTTTCGCCTGCAGTACCACCACCGCCTAAACTGTTACTGATGCACTGGAAGGGGGCGCTGTTTTACAATAATAACCTTGTTAAATGCTGGTTAATGGGAAATCTGGTTGCAATTATAAAGTTAACCATCAAATAAATCACAACTCAAGTATTGGGGACATTAGATTACTGCCTATCCTGTACATTTTCAAATTAACACTTTTGTACATTTGTAATTAATAAAAAAGGATTATCATTTCCATGTTCATCTATTATTCCATTACTTTTCCTGATGTCTTAGGTTC